TATTTCCCCTTCTAGCTGCCTTTGATATCCATAACTTTGAAAGAAAACCCCACGAATGCCAAAAGTAAATCTCACTTTCTCTACATTCACATATTACCCTAAATTACTTTGCTGATGACGAAGACATATTGTATTCGGTAACATGAGGTTTAATCTTTTTTTACTGTAGTAAATTAAACTAATGATGCTAGGACTGCCACAACCGGTGCCCTAGTAACCCCGGGGACGGAATAGGTGTCGTCATTTACCTTCTAAATATTCAAGTTCCGTTCTCTACCCAAGGTCGAAGGAGAGGGGAGAGGAGAGGCGAGGTGGGGGGGGGGGGCACGGGGGCGGCGATGCACAGCAGGGGGTATAAAAAGCTCCAGCGTCGCCTCTCGATTCACTCCCCTTGCATCTCCTGCCCTCCCGTGCTCTAAATTTCTCCCGGAGTAATTATCCTTTTTCTTACCTTTCTAAAATTATACACCTGGTATCTGCCCCCTGCACCCTGTAGTAGACCCGTTCATTCATAAAAAAAAATATTCCTTATACTCACAACAAAAAATTACACAACTCTATCCCTACAAAACGTGACGGAGAGAACCATTATATTCGGAAAAATGTCGCAGATGTCTCCTTTAGCTCGCCAGGTAAGATTAAGATGATACATTTATGAGTCTTTATTCTGTCTTCATTTTCTCCCTTCTGGCAAATATTTAAAATAAAAAGCTACAAGTAAACGGATAAATTTAGAGAACGTATAAACCTACGTACACCTACATCTTTGCGTATCTATATACAATATACCCGAATATAATCATATATTCCTGTGTGGTGTGTGTGTTTGTGAGAGAGAGAGAGAGAGAAGGGAGAAGGATGGAGGGAAGAATAGAGTGGTGGAGAGAGAAAGAGAGAGAGAGGGGGGGAGGGGAGAGGGAGAGAGAAATTTAAATGATTAAATATGAGCGAGTGTATATGCTTCTGTGTATTTTTTTTCTCTCTCTCTGCCCATCACATCCTCATCTACATCTCAAGATTTTCAACAAAAAGCAAAGAATATAAATGACATTCACTGACCTGTGACACTATCAATACCATTTTGATGGACTATGAAAACACAGCAAGGTTGCCAGTCACTCACTTCCCTCTTATCCTCTGTTATAATGTTACTTTCACGCTCCTGTAATTCATCGAGCTGCCATTGTTTTTTTTTCGTCTGGTAAAGCCACAACAGTGTTAATCCATGAAATATGTTTCTTTTTCGCCTTTGGCATGATGGGTTCGTAAATACCTGTGAATGAAAATAAATTTGAATTGCTATATGTATGTGTGTTTGTGTTAGAGAGAGAGAGAGAGAGAGAGAGAGAGAGAGAGAGAGAGAGAGAGAGAGAGAGAGAGAGAGAGAGAGAGAGGAGAGCGAGAGAGTGTGTGTGTGTGTGTGTGTGTGTGTGTGTGTGTGTGTGTGTGTATGTGTGTGGCGTCCATGAAAATACGAAGTCACTGCTTAGTGACGAGTTATGAAACAGTATGTTTAATTCGTTTCGGTTATTCAGAATGTCCTTTATCTTGTGCTAAAATCTGATCATATTTTTTTTGTTATTATCCTTGTCTTGACGTTTTTAGAAGGAGGCGCATCCACATTCGATCAGTTGAGCGAGAAAATACAAGTTCGCTTGTTTCAACTCAAGCATCTACAAGCTAGGTGGTTCCAAAGAGGGTGAATAGCATTACAGGAGCTGTATATCTGATATTTTGAAGAAGAAAAAAATCGTTTGGATTAATGTCAGTTAATCTTGCTCTTTACTTTTAATTGTTCTTTATGCATTTTTCCCCTTCTTTTTGTCAATACATGCTTGTTTACAGTGTATGCGTATGTGTGGAAAAAGACATTCTTTTTTATTGCAAAATAAAATCAAAGTCTTTATATGTAATTTTCATTGTGAACTAATAGATCAGATCTAGGCACGGATTCAATAAACACAATTATAATTATTTTAGAATATTAACTGAACGCAAAACCATGGTCGGGTTAACCAGGCCTCAACAATGTATGTATTGTGTGTGAAAGAACTGCAATTACACAGTTTTTAACGCTTTAGTTAGAATCTTTTGTTTTATATTTCATATACATTTTGAGCCCCTTCTCACCAAAATCGCCATGTCATGTAGTTAATAACTACACACACACACACACACACACACACACACACACACACACACACACACACACACACACACACACACACACACACATATATATATATATATATATATATATATATATATATATATATATATATTATTTCTATTTTTTCATAGATGATGGGGGCATCAGTGAATCGACTAATTGGGGTTGTAAATTAATTTTGGAGAAACTTTTACTAAAAATGGTAATAACTGTAGAAAGGGAAGACAAATAGTAATGCTTATAATAGGAAATATGTGTTGTTATTCAAACGGTGTCTAATCCCTGAGACAGAGGTGATGTGTTCGCATGTAACGTCTCGATTTCTATCAGCTGGTCGGAGGTTGTTTCATTTGCCGTTTCTCAAACATTGACAATTTGATGTAAAGGTTTGATATGCTAATATCATCTACACCTACGCATATATTGCATTACATTGCACTGGCAAATAGAAATAAAATGGATAGATGACAATACATGATCGAGACATTCCCATTTCATTAGAATGAACAAGATATACAACACAAGTTTGTTCTAAGATTTTTGCTGTTCACCCTCCTTGGAACCACCCAGCTAATAGTTGCTTGAGTTGAAACAAGCAAACATGCATTTTCTCGCTCACCTCTTCGAATGTGGATGCAACTCCTCAAAGAAACAGCAAGATTAAATGCATAATAAAAGCTGATTATACACTCTCGTAACTCATTACCAAGCATGACTCCATATTCCCTTAGGCATGAATAGATGTCGATTCTACATATTCAGTGTATAATCAATTGAAGCAAGCCGCCGGCATGAACTACTATAAATGACAATCACATTTGGATAAGCAAACAATTATCGCATTTGAAGAATATCCAACTACAAAGTCAACGATAACTAATGTTACATGCTTTGTTCTTTATCACACTGGAAGAAAGCGAAAGATCAAATGGCCTACTTAGTTTCAAAAAATATTAATTAATACACTTATTGGTTACTTATTTTCGACTAATCACACTCTTTGTTACAAACTACCTAGGGTTTTAGCATCATTCATAAAAATACTATTTACGCTATGTTTACTTCGACTGGTTGCCAGAGGTACAAAAGTGGGACCCAGAAAGTGTACTGAAATATAATTCCGCAACTGTGCTTATGAACTTCTTTATAGCCGACACGCTAATGCACCCTCGCCTTCGCTGATTCACCTTGCAGGTCCTTGCATCAGTGTTCATCGGCCTCACCCTCTCGTGCATGATGGTTACTTTGGCATATGCTGCAGTTGCTGTGCCTCAGATGTCATTACCTGACTCACCTATAAACTTCACACCGGATGAAGCCAGTTGGTTTGGTGAGTAATATCAGTTTTATTACAATTATCGCTATTTTTTGTTATTTCAGTGAAGTAATCGTTGCAACCGATAATACCATTACTATTACTGCCACAACATCAATATGAACAATAATAACTACGGGTACAACAGCAACTACTACTGTGACAAGACTCATTATCTTTTAATTAACACGAAGACAGTTCACGATTAATTAGCAAGGTCGGTTTAGGAAAATTGAAAAATTGAAATGTGTTACAGTGAAAGAAGATAAACGTGGTGCCCGAAATCCAAAAACTCTCATATAATGTCAAGTTATTCAAATACAACAGGATATAATTACACTTAGGGTTATTCAAATTAAAAATTGTAGACACGCAAACATGTGTAGATTCCCTGCCACAGTGATACCGTTGAGTAATTTTTTCTGTCTTTCTTTCTTTTTTAGATCTTTGTCACTTTCTTATCATCGCAAGTGTTTTAATACGTGCAAAAATGATATCTTTTCCCGGGATTTCTGACTATCCTTAACAAAGCCCTGAAGTAGATTGTGTTGAATGTTTTTGGCTGCGAGAAAATATCTTTTGTCCTCTAAAGGTATATGTCTCTTGATATCCTGAGAATTATTCATCAGCATGACGCACACACGCTTCGCTAAAGGTTACATTATGTGACTCTGCTGCGCTTAAGCATTTTGCCAGAAACATTAAGAAAAAATATGCACACCTTTGGCAAGCAAATTAGTTATTGGACGAATATCTTCCTTCAATTACCAAAAATGGATTGCTATTTTCTGCTAATTAACTGTTTTCCACATTTTGTTTTTCACGTATGTCGTCACAAAATGTCTCGGAAACGGTTATTATCAGTTATAATTTGAGAAAAATACATAGCTTCTTGGAAGGACTTTTTACTCTGTGTGATTACCAGTCTTGTGATGGTTTTGATGTGAATGCCAGTAATACAACATAACACACACACACAAACGAAAACCTGAATATATGGAAAAATATGAGCATTAAACAATGAATAGACGTAACGAAAAAGACCCCGATGCCTACGAAACAGACCAGCTAATTAAAATCCAAAACCCCCGCAGCCACCATCCCTCTCCTGATCTCCATCCCCGGGGCGCTCGTGGGCGGGATGATGTGCGAGTGGCTGGGGCCGAGGCGCCTGCTGCTCCTGCTGTCCCCTTTGCTGTGCGCGTCCTTCGTGCTCATGAGGGTGGCGGTGTGGGAGGTCGTGGTGCAGGCCGGCTTGGCGGAGGTCCTGCTTCTGTCGTGCAGAGTCGTTCAGGTAGGCGCTCTTCCCTTTGGGTTACTGTCCCTGGTGGCCTGTAAACCTGTCAGTCAATGTGCGTCTTGATACAATGTGGCTTAGATAGTTTGCCCAGTGAACTACGCCGGGGGAATGTCACATGAGTTATCTGATTCTGCTGAGCGCATGCAGGAAAGGAGATTCGTGGAAGTGTTTCGAATTTACAAGTCCTTATTGAATTATTTATTCTAGGGAACCATGGTGGCCTTGATGAATCCAACGGTGTACATGTACACATACGAAATGACCGATGCACGGATAAGAGGCGCGATGACAGGACTCACCGATCTGTGGACGGCCTTTGGCTTTCTTCTGTGCTATTTGTTCGGCTGTTTCTACTCCTGGGAGGTGATCGCCTGGCTCGTTCCTCTTCTGACCGGAGTTCCTTCCTTCATCGGCCTTTTGTTCACTCCTGAATCGCCCATGTGGTTGGTGCGGAAGGGCAAGGAGCAAGAGGCCTTAACGACTCTCATGAAATACAGATGTTCTACAGAAGAGGTTATCGAAGAAGTGAAAGCTGCGACGAAGACCTCAAACAAGGACGTTTCTTTCGTGCGCTCTCTGCAGGAAGTCGTGAAGAAGCCGAATTTGTTGGGCATGGTGGCCTCTGCGTTGCTGTTGGTGATGAAGGAAATGAGCGGAAATTCGGGAGTCAATACATATATTGTCCACATTTTCCAGTTCGCAGGCGTGGGATTGGACCCAAACTGGAGCTCGGTGGTGGTCGGCTCAGTCCGCTTTCTGTTCAACGGTCTCTGCGCCTTCCTCATATACAACGTTCCTCGTAGAATCGCCCTGGCCAGCGGGGCAGTCATCTCCGCCATTGCAGCTACAAGTCTCGGCATTTTCTTCTTCCTTCAGAGTATCGAATACGACGTGTCTTATCTCGGATGGGTCCCCCTCGCCAGTCTCGTCTTTTACATCATCGGTTACGCGGGAGCGCTGGGGCCCTTCTGCTGGCTCACGTCAGTCGAGGTCCTGCCAGGTCCTGTGAGGTCCATCGGCTGCGGCACCACCAACGCCGTCTACTCTGCTGTGGCCTTCCTCATCTCCAAGTCCTTCCCGGACATGCAGGCAGCTGTAGGTCTACATGGGATTTTCTGGTTTTATGCAAGTTCTTCAATTTTCATTCTGGTTATTGTTCTCGTCTTTGTTCCCGAAACTTATGGCATGTCTATGAAAGATGTCGAACGATATTGGGAAAATGTCTCCGCGTCAAAGAAGGAAAAGGAAAAGTGCGAATCTGCAAAGGTTGATGAGCCAGTTCCTATAGTTATGGTGAAATATTAAATGATAAACAGTAAATGTTATAAATCGTATACGAAATATTGAATATGCATATTATTCAGCATTAACTGATAAAAAAGTTCCTTTCAACATAAATTCCTTTTTATCAGATTTCCAATGCTACTATCACCAAAAATATTATCATAGTTTGTTTTCTATGGTGTTGAGTGTTATACGACAACTATACGACTTCTACAACTACCACTGCTCTTTCTCTCAAGCTGGCAGGCATTTTCTGTGGTCATCTCCATCACTTTCATCTGCTTTATTGCATTGTTGTTATTGTTATATTATGTATAGAAATTTATGAAAATGTTCTTACCAAATAAAGTTGTTAGCTAAACAGTTAAGTTCTCTTTGGAATTATAGTTTTGATACATCTTGTAACTCAATATATTTTTATAAAATAAATATCAATGAATATAAACAAACATTTAATTGTCATTTATTTGTTGTAAGTTAACAATTAAAAGTTTTCTCATTTCTTAATCAAAATCTGACAATACTTGTCTGTCTATTACA